TAGACAGAAATGTAGATGAATACCAGGAAATCCTCACAAAAAGAAGTGCTAAAGAATGTACTTGAAACAGAAGGTAAGTGATGCCAGGTAGAAGGTCTGAGAGGCAAAAAATAATCTGTGTGTGTGTGTGTGTGTGTGTGTGTGTGTGTGTGTTTGAAGCTAAAACTCAAAAAAAGTTTAAAAAAACACACCCTATAATTCAAATGATAACAATGACAACATACAAACTGGAGAGCAGTTAACAGGATTAATGTGTTGTATGGGTGAAGAATAAAGATGTTAACTTTAGACTTTTGATAAGTTAAATACATATGTAAAACTGTATTGAGGAACCAGTAAAAAAATAAACATGCATTTAAAAACAAAGTGCAGATCTTTTCTCAGGCAAAAGTATCTAAAAGTGCACAAAATGTACTATAAATATTTATAAGTTATTAATAAACAATTTTAAAATAAGGGCAAGAACATCTCCCAATAGTGTGAGTAGGGAAGATTAATTTCCTTAGCTAGCAGTGGAGAGACTTAGCTTGATAGAGGATAAAATCTGCTGTAGCATGAAAAACAGACAACATGAATAAATAAAGAGAAAGGAAATTGTTGAACTAAAGAGACTTGTTTTAGGATAAGATGGCTATAAAACATGGAGTCAACTAATGCAAAGACAAATTGCCAGGCTGACCATAAATAAAAATAAGCCAATAAAGTATTTGAAACTGTGCAAAACTGACTTTTATTCTCTTAAAAGTACTATTTGTATATAATTGAAAGATAATAATCCACAGCTGTCAAATAGCAGACTGCCACTTAAACATTAATCTTTGTAGTAACATTGGAAATTAGAGGAAACTATACTTAAACATTATTTTTTGAGGTATGAAAAATAAAGTCTATATACATATATTTATAATTAGACCACCCTATTTCAATACAATACATAAAATATGCAGTCTTTTTAAATTTTCATCTGAAAACCTGCTTCTTTAGTATAAAAGTGTCCCTGCCTAACTGGAAAGAGGTAGAGAAGTAGTTCTCAACCTTGGCTGCACATTAGAATCACCTGGGAATCTTTTTAAAATCCTGATTTCTGGGCCTCATCCTCCAGAAACTGTTTCTTTGTTACTAATGTTGTGGCCCCACCACATAACAAAGAAACAGAATTTCCAGAGGATGGGGCCCAGAAATCAGGATTTTAAAAAGATTCCCAGGTGATTCTAATGTGCAGCCAAGGTTGAGAACCACTGAGCTAGAGCTTCAGGGACAAGGGATGGATCCAAACCCAGCTGGAATACTTACTAACTGATTGACATTAGGTGAGTTGCATAACCTCTGTGAATTTCAGTTTTCTGAGCTGTTACCACGAATATAGTAAGGACTCACTATCTTTTCAACCAGCCATTATTTATTCTTGTCACTACAGGTAATCTTGATATGTGGCTATTAAAAGAACCTTACTCCTTTTTATTTCTCAAAGTCACATCATAGGCATAATTAAGTGCATTAGATATTATCAGACTGGGAGGAAAAAAGACTAAGAGAAGTCACACACAGTGCTTATGATCATAACAATGACAAATAAATTGCTTCCCAACTCAGTGCCTATGAAACTAAGAAAATTCTTAAATTCTGTAGTACTCATGTATGTTTCAATAAAAAAATCAATTAATTAATGAGGTACAACCTTATTGCACTCTTTATAAATTGTCACAACTCCACCCAAAATCATTGCAGTGAACACTCCCTACTAAAAATGACTTATTTCAAAATAAGATTAAGGGTTGAAAATGTATTAGATAGATGTTAAAAAGGTATTAAGTGCTAAAAATGTATTTTATTGTTGGTTAAACAACAATAACAAAAAACTCAATTGTCACTACTAAGTAAGCTTGGATGGGAAATACAGCCTACTCCAATTTGGCTGTGGAAATAGGGATTCTTTTGTGGACCTTCACTAACAATAAAGTTCATTTCAAAATGTATTATAAAATGGGGGAGCTACTCAATTTACATGCAACATATTATTATAAAAAACTGGCAATACTTCCTTTTAATCAATAATTAATATACAGACTTGATTTCCATAACTGCAAATTATATCGTGAAATCCCCTGTATATATATTCACACCTGACATAGTCTCCCAAGTTAGTTTGCAAAAATATAACCAGAATTAGCTATAAAAAAACTTTATGGGTTCCAGACAGTCAAACTGACTGTAAGTTGGTTAAATAAATGAAAACAAGTTACTTTAGTGCCTTAATAACAATTGTCTCTCTCAAGTAACTATTAGGCCTAAGCTCAAGAAAGGACAAACTGAGCAGTTCCTCCATAAAGAGGCAATAACTGTTTCATGCTTCTTTTTAAGTTTATTCAGGAGGAAGAAAAAAACCCAGCTGCTTTCATTCCAAGTTAGTTAAAATCAATATAATTTAAGATATTAATTTCGTTAATTCCCCAATTACTGCACTACTCCAACTTTATGTATATAAATTTGAAAACACAGAGGAGATGGACAAATTTCCCTAAAAGACACAAACTACCAAAGCTTACTCAAGAAGAAATAGATAACCTGAATGACCCTATCTATTGGTGCTAGAGGCCATTATTGCCTTGTTCCAGATCTTAGTGGGAAAGCATTTAGTCTCTCACCATTAATTATAATTTTAACTATATGTGAAAAATGATGCTATACTATTGTAATGTAGCTATTGTATAATCCATCATTGGAAGATTGACTGTTATTAGTTAAAGGTATATATAGACCTTACAGCATCCAGTTAATACCTAAAAGAACAAAGTGATAGCAAATAAGCCAACAAAAAAATAAAATACAAATTTTAAATATTCCATTAATCCAAAAGAAGGCAAAAAAAGGGAAAGAGGAAGGAACAAAGATCAGATGGAGTAAATTGCAAAATGATAAACACAAATGTAACTGTATTAAGAATCACATAAAATATAAAGGGTGGAAATACCTCAATTAAAAGGTATAGATATTAGATTGGATTAAAAATAAAAAATACAACTCACATATCTTCTGGCTTTAAATATAAAGACACAATCAGATTAAAATTTAAAGGCAACGAAAAGATATACCATGTTAACACTAATCAAAGACAGCCAGAGTAGCTTAATAAACAGGAGCGACTGCCGATTTTAGAGCAAAGAATATTACCAGGAATAAAGAGGCTACTTCATAACGATAAAGAGATCACTTCATCAAGAAGAGGGAACAATCTCAAACTTTTATGCACCTGAAAACAGATCTTCAAAATACATGAAGCAAAAATAGATAAAATGGCAAGGAGAAATGGGTAGCTCCATAATATTCAGAAATATCAATTCCCCTTTCTCCATAATTGATGGAACAAGTGGTTCATAAGGCAATATGCACACAGGAGCTTTGCACCACACATCTGACACCTATAGAATAATCCACCAACAGCAGCAGAATACAAGTTAGTGTAATACACGCCTCTCACACACACTTCCCAACATGATCCAAAGGTATAAATTGGAAAGTGAGAACTTAGAAGAGAATGAAACTTATATTTCTCCACTGCTCATATCTCTTACACAAAACATTCCTATTGCAAGCAATTAACACAAAGAGTGCTTTAATATACAGGGATATCGTTAAAATGTAGGTTCTGAAAAGTGAAGTTTAGCATGAGGCCTAACATTCTGCAGTCCTAACAAGCTCCCAGGTGTTGGTGATCCTGACATCACATAGCCAAGGGGTGTACTTGCAGAGCAAGGGAATGACAGATAAGAGGAAAATGAATAAAGGAAGCCAGGGTCCCTTTATCTTTGCCTGCTTCTAGAACAGTGGTTCTCAACCTTCCTAATGCCGCGACCCTTTAATACAGTTCCTCATGTTGTAGTGACCCCCAATTTCATTGTTACAAATTGAACATAATTAAAGCATAGTGATTAATCACAAAAACAATATGTAATTATATATGTGTTTTCCGATGGTCTTAGGCGACCCCTGTGAAAGGGTCATTTGACCCCCAAAGGGATCGCGACCCACAGGTTGAGAACTGCTGTTCTAGACCATCAATGAGAGGCTAAATAAATAAATAAATAAGCATTTTTTGAGTGAATCTAATATGGTTAGTCATGGCACAAAGCATTAAATATGCATTATTTCATTTAATCTTCACAACAACGCTTTGAAGTAAAGACTATCATTATCCTCACTTTTCAGAGAAGGAACCTAACGTTTAGAGGTCAGTTATTTCCACACATCACAGAGCTACCTAGTTACCTGGCTTAGCAAGGCACAGGTGTTCTGAGCAGCGCTAAATGAGCTCCATGGCATTTTGTTTTCCCAACATTCTCCCTAAAATCACATTAGTTTCAGGTTTCTCTTTCTTTTGAGTCCTTCCTCCCCCTCACTTGAAAGACCTATGCATGACCATCAAATTGAGCAGAGACCTTTTGGAAATGCCATCACACAATTGAACTGGCAAGTATTACTATAAATACCCGCCAATAAACATCTTTTGGCTGACTTTTCTGTTGTATTCAAAAGAGATGCTTAATATTTTACCTCAAATAAAATATAAATTAACTGATACAAAATTAAAGGTAAGAGATCTGAAAAATTTTCTAACTTTCACTGTGATGTCAAACTAGACCTACTTGCATCCATTTACATGATTACATGATGAACTGGGAAAACATGAATATGCCATACACTGATGATTCCAAGAATGAAGCAATATTCTGCATTATTCAAAAATATCCCATAATGTATATATGTTTTTAAAATCAGGAAAAAGTAGGTTAAATTTTTAAAAATTAAATAAGGCATTAATTATTAAGTATTCCCTACTAGCACTAAGTATTCAAATACTAGCACTAATCATAGAGTTGAGGAAAGATTAACAGATATATTTGTAAATATCGCCACAGGCTAGAGAATTCTATCAGTAATTACTGTCCTGGAAAACAAGGGGGGGAGGGGGGGAGGAATGCAGTGAAAATTCAAATACCTACATGAAAAGTTCCTTAAACAGGTACAGCACAGTGGCTGCCTGAGTGCCTGCAGCTTTGCAGAACAGGTGGCGCTCTCACAATGCTTCAGGTTTATTTCGAAGCCCTTGCATCATCTCTAAAAGGGAGGTGGTCACTGTTTCCCCAGCCATAAAAGAGAAAATAAGTATAACCAAACTAGTAATGTCCAAACAAGTAATATCCTCCCAATGGCTGGCACCTTATGGATAATACCCGACTTTCTCTAGAATTTTTAAATGGACAAGAAACCTACAAGGAAACTGTCCTACAACAGCTGTCTTTTATCCTCTGAAGTCAGGGCTTGGAAACCAGTCACTTAGCACTTAAAACACACTGCCTTTGCTGCCTTGAAGGTCGTCAAGTTCTAGAGCAGCAGAGACACGCAGGGGCAAGCTGTCAGATTAAATATCATGGCGCGTTAAAAACTAAATAGGCAGATGGGTTTTCATTTCGACATTAAACCTCTTTCCAGAAAAGGAAGAAATGTGTATAGGGAGGAAAAAGATAAATGGTGGTTTTTTTGGTGGCAAACTGCACCCCACCAAAAAAAAAAAAAATGTTGTCAATGAAGAATGTAATCACAAATAGTTTTATAGATAGCTGAAAATATTGCCTTGCTTGTAAATGAGGCTAGATTTTCAGAACATTAAAAGAAATTTTTATATACGATGGGCTATCAGGCAACAATGAAGGCTACGTTTTCGCTAGACAGCAGGACACAATCAATGTTTTCAGTAGGATAGTTCAGAAGATCCCACCACTGTGAGAAATCCTAATCTCATACTATTTCAAGAGCTCACATAGAAAATTCATGAAAAAGTAGGGGTAAAAATGAATAGCTATGAAACTCCAACTCTGTCATAGTTTCTTTACAACCCTTATATTTCTTCCCTGGCAATACCCTGAACAGAAGTCCTTGCAAAAATTTCAGTTGCTTCCTGACCTCATAAACCAAATAACATTTCTATCCAAATAATCCTTATATGCTGTATCAGTTTTATGCTATATCAGTTCTCATATATTTTTAGCAAGTATTTTGGGGCAGGAACTCCTCTTAAAGCTACTTCTTTACCTATCCTGCCAGGCTGCCAACCTTGTGTTTTGAACTTTGCAGACTCAGCTCTGGCTTGGCAGGTCCAAAGTGCTGCCCTGAACTGTCAGAACACAAGAAAAGAAGGGGCCCCAGAAGGACTAGTGTCTTTGTAGTGGGCACCAAAAATACTGGAATCAACTCTCAAAACAATTCTTTATGTTGTGCTGTTTAAAAATTTCCAGCAATCTGATTGATAGCATTCACAAAAGCATCCACACATGAGACACACAAAAGCTGATAGTACACATACTATCCAAGAGGCAAGCAGTTTCCCCTAAAACTTGTCCTTCCATATTAGCTCTGCTACCTCACTGACATGCTCTTGGCCTCCCATCTTACACCCCTCCCCCCGGCTGACTCATTTTTTACACTGAATATTTTCTAAGTGTATACAAGAGTTTAGATGCCCAAGAGCATTAACATAACATCTCCTACAGTGAGGTATTATAATCCAGGTTAAGAAATGAAAGGAACAAAAATACAGAGAATACTTTTAGAACTAACACTGTGGCCTGATGTATTCAAAGGCCCTGAAAAACTTGCATCTCAAGATCAACATTTCAGAAGCAGAATTCTAAATATTCATAAGCAACCAGATCTTTACTAAGCTCATCTCCTCACTCAATACAAGAAAACTAACCCTAGTCAGGTAGATAGCTATTCATAATGAAGTACTTTGAAGGGAAAACCAGATTATAACATTTAACCCTGAGAATTTTATTTCATAAACCTATTTATATGGAGACAGACTCTATATCTAAAAGTGCAGATTTTTAAAATTTTTCTTTGCCATTTGGGGGATGGAAAAGCATCCCTGATTTGTATATTAAAGCGCAAGCATCTGTCCTACTGATGATATTCCAGGGAAGCACATTAGCATAAAATTTAACGATGTCAAATAAGTGGATGTGAAATAGGGACTGCGTAAAGACACTATTTCCAAGGCTGACAGAAACATCACTGTTTAGAAATGCAAATGAAACCATTATGTTCAATAATTATATGAAAATATGAACAGTTCAGCATGTTTTCCAGCCCTGATGGCGGTTAATGGGATGTATGCTTATGTAAATAACTACTATTAAAGCTAATGCTGAAAAAAACTAATAAATTCATACTAAAGCAACTGATTTAGTATGCTTTTAAACCCCAGCAGTGCTCACTTATTAGAAAAGAGTGCATTATTATGTTTAGAACTCATTACTGCTACAAGTCACTGCAACTCCATCAATTACCATGCATTAATGAAAATGGGACACATACAAAAAAAATTATTGCCTCTCAGCAGTTTTTTTTAAAGACAAAATCTAGGGGCATTACCATCATGGGGCCTTGTAGGGAACTTATCTGCACTATAATCTTTATTACTAAAATGGTACTCCCAATACTATCATCCTAAGGTATTTTGACCATAAGAAGGGCTAACCTTTATGTAAAAATATCAACATTTTACAAAATTGACCATTTAGCACCAATAAGAAATTTTTAATATTTGAATTGCATTTTTAAAAACTTTTATTAACATATATGTGGCAGATGGTCCATTTTCTTTTATCCTTACCTGAGGATATGTTTATTGGTTTTAGAGAGGGAAGAAGGGAGAAATGGAGAAATAGAGGGAAGAGGGGAGGGAGGGAAACAGGGAGGAAGAAAAGGGGAGAGGGAGGGAGAGAGAGAAAGAGAGAGAGAGAGAGAGAGAGAGAGAGAGAGAGAGAGAGAGAGAGAGAGAGAGATTGAGATTCCCATATATAAACCTCAACCCAGAAAGGGGATCTAACCTGCAAGCTAGGTATGTGCCCTGTTGGGGAATCGAATCAGCAACCTCTTGGTGTAGGGGACAATGTTCCAACCAACTGAACCATCTTGCCAGGGCAGATGGTCCATTATTTTTTTCAAAGGGAGGCCAAGAAGTAAAAATACACAGTGGTAGTCATACCAGTATATAGAGGTAGATGGCTTTATTCTAAAATGCTGCCTGATATAATAGATAAAAATCCCACCCAATTCTACATTTATGTCTCAGTGAATTCTGTGCAATGAAGGGATTGGATTTTTAAGAACAAACCTAAAATTTCCTTCTTGGCCACAAGATAGACTTTCTTGCAATATATTAAATATTGCAGGATATTAAGAAGATGAAAAGTCCTTGTTTAAAATTCAAGTTTAACTTGCACCTAACAGCAAAGAAATGCTGATGGAGCAGGAATGCAAATATATAAATACCTTTGCTCTCACTCTATTTGTGTCAACTTTCACAATTTATTCTGTTTCCTTCGCATATATAATTAAACTGATCCTTCATCCTTTTTTCACATCCAGGAAAACAGAAAGCACTTCAGCACCTACTAAATGTTAAAAATATTTGCTAAACCTCAGACATAGTCATGTTATATATTATAAATATATGTTTATTTTGAAATTATTACAGTCACATCAGTCCAATCATTTGCAGTTTTGGCTCTCACTTGTTTCTTTGCCTCCTAAGAAGCTTCTCTTGCAATTTAGATATACTAACACCAGGTGGTGGTAGAGTACGATGATGTGCAGCTATAATAGTAAAATGCAAGTTTTCTCTCAAAAGCAGTAAAATGCAGATATTCTCTGATCAAGCAACACAGATTTAACAATTCATTCACATAACAGGTATTTTTTTAGTACATACTGAGTATCAGGTCTTGCATAAGATTCTCAGTGTACAATAGTGCATAAAGCAAAAATAATGTTCCACGAGGGAAATAGACAATAACTAAATGTATAAGTAATAGAATGTCAAGTGCCCTCAATAATCAAAGCCCGTTCACAACTATAAAAAAAAAAACAAAAAACTTCTTAGCAAACTGAAATGAAGCAAATTCCTCAGTGTAATAAAAGATACCTATAAAAAACCAGGTAACTCAGTTGGTTAGCGTGTTGTCCCAATATGCCAACGGTGTGGGTTCGATCTCCAGTCAGGGCACTCACAAGAAGCAATCGATGAATGCATAAGTAAGTGGAACAACAAGTTGATGTTTCTCTCTCTCTCCCCTTCTAAAATCAATAAATAAAAAAACTTTTTTAAACCTATAACTAACATCAATGTTAAAGCTGAAATACACATTTCTCCTAAAACATGGAACAAGATAAGGATGCTCTTTGTCATCTTTTATTCAATACATAACTGGAGGTATTGCAGTAAGACAAGAAAAAGAAAGAAAAGGCTTAAAGATTAGGAAAGAACGAAAACTATTTTTATTTGCAGATGACATAATTGTTCACACATAAAATCCTAAGGAATCTGTGAAAACAACTATTAAAATTAACAAGTGAGAATTTAGCAAGGTCAAAGATATAATCAATATAAAAATTCAACTGTGTTTCTAAATCCAACAACTGAAAGTTGAAATTAAAACTACATTGAGAACAAACTTTTCAGAATCAACAGACGCCTTCTTGCTGACTAGAATATGCACATGATGGCTGAATGCCAAGACTTTCTCAAATCAACAGTCATCCCCTGCCTTGAGCCAAAACTCAAATGTCTTTTACAATAAAAAGGAATAAACACCGATCTTGCTTTTATTACTGTTACTTCGGAAAGCTTGATCCTGACACAAATTCATAAAACATCCGTTAGTCGGTTCCAGCTAATCCTGGCCTTTTCAGCTCTGTTTCTGCATTCTTTTCCTTGAGATCTGTTCTATGCCTTGTCAGAGCAGCACATAATGAATGGTGAGATTCCTCAGTAATTCCTACCTGACTTCTTTAGCAACAAGCTTTCTTAAATTGCTTTAAACATTTTTTAAAGGATGCTCCCCCATAAATCAAAAAACATTTTGCTTCAAAACTATACCGTCTCTTCAAAAATTAATTACTGTAAACTTTTATCATCAATTCCTCTCTGTAGTTAGCATTAATTCCTAAGTATTTTTAAGAGAACAAAATAATCTTTAAGTATGGTTTAGGCATTCACGAAAGGGTCAAACTTCCTGCACATTAAAAAAGAGAACTTTCAAAAAGGATATCTTCTCTCTCTTTGATGATCAGTTCATTCTGTTCTTCCAACTGCCTTATCTTCTTCTCAAATGATTCCTGCTCAGCTTTGAGTCGTTCTTCGGTCACTTCCTTTTCCTCGCTTACTCTAAAAGAAATAAAGAAATGAAAAGAAAATGCCTGTGAGAATAAAATACAACATGTGCCTACAGCTGCAGTTTACCCAAAGTAGACTTCCTCCAGAGAATGCTTACCTCTTTCAGAGGTTTCTTCAAGGCTACTCTATGCATTTTTTTAACTAACCTTTTACAAGGCAATCTTTTACAGCTGTCCAAGAAAATACGCATGTTGACTTTAAAATCAAGAATGTTTCCCATCATCAGAAGTATCTTAAATATGTAAAGTCCAACATAAGACATAGGCTCCTAATTATAATCTGGGACAGAAAAGTATCTAATTTTTACAACATTAGGTTTCATTTCTTCATTATCAAAATAGGCACAATCAATTTATTTTGATTTAGAAATTTTTATACTTTTATTTAAATCCTGTCAATGACATAAACAACATATAAATCACTTAAACATTTCACTAAAAAACACAGGTAATTTTATTCTTTTTTTTTCTGGAACTGATACCCTGTATTCCTTAGTAGCATATAAATAACTACACTGGAATAAAAACACAGCATTAACATAAACCTTGCACTATATTTATTCTTAGTCCAAAAATAGGGTGGTGAAGGCCTGGGGTGGGGGTGGGCTAGAAAGGGCCCATGAGGGTTGGGGGGGAGAAGGAGACATATGTAATACTTTCAACAATAAAGACTTTTTAAAAAGGATTTTAAAGTTAAAAACACTGACCAATAGTTTTGATTCTTTAATGTCTAATTCTGAAAAGTATTCCAACTCGATCCTACCAGAAAGGAGTGGTTCCTAACAAGAACACAGAAGGGGAAAAATCTTTTTAAAAACTCCACAAAAACAGCTAAACAACCACAACATTAAAAGTTATCTTAAAATGACAATCCTAATTTTCATGTATCTCTGTGCACAGAGATGTGAGACCTGAATTTGTTACTGCCTGTTTCTCCAAAGAGAGTACAACGTCTATCCTACAAGATCACACGGGGATGCGTGTAAGCGAAGTCCGCACCTTTCCTTTGAGCTCCTAAGTTTACTCTCTCCCAGAACCCTCCCTCCTCTATCAGAACAATTTCTGACTTAACATGAACTCCATAGCTCCTCCTTTCTTGCTAGTCTTCGGGTGAAGATATTAAAATCAATGATATAACAGAATGAAAGTTGGAATTTTTTGAATGTTCAAGAGTTGATTGCTTTTTCTTTGAAATAATGTGTGTGAAATGCATGGCACACAATAGTGTTCAAAAATAGGTTTATTTCTTCTTGCTCATCTTGACATTCAAATAATTTCCTCAACTATATTATTTATGGTTAGCATAATATGAGGCCCATGAATGGGACTCAGGCCCCTCTTCCTAAGGGTAATCTCTAAAACTGATACAATTACAAGAATCCAGACAACAAAACAAGGAACAAATATACCTAAATGAGGAGGATTTATACTCGGGTCTCAAGTAATCCTCCTGCCTCCCTTGTAGATTGCCAGATTTACCTTATCATGGAGGTGTATCTCAACATTTATTTACTCCCTTTGTTCAACCTGAAAGAGATCCATGAAAACTCTAGAGTTCATCGAGGGAGTAAAAGTTGTACACACATCCCATAATGCCAGAGTCTATGATGAGCTTTTCTCAAAACTTAAAAGTGCTCTATCCAGAAAAATCACGCCTTTTAAAATTTAGTTTCTGGAGTATGTTTGAAAAATGTATTGCTACACTATTTAAACAGGCCTTTTTTTTTTTTTTGGTCTTTTCTGTTATGCTGCTATGATTAGACTACCCTTTAGCAATTATTATGCTCTGGGAGGCTATAAAATTAACAAGCTGTGGTAAGTACAAAGTATAACACTTCTTCCATAGGCCTATCTAAAGATACTCATGGCTTCTTTGTGGCCTATTAGCATAGTTAATATAAGCAAGCATATTAATACAGCCTTTAAAGGCAGAGGACTTGCCAATAAAACAACCTCAAGATTTGATATCCACTCTGAAATCTATCTTCTTGTTTAATTTATGTTCAATAATATTTCCCATGAGGTATATGTAAGAGAAAATATCTGGTATCCTGATCTACATTTTTCATCAAAGCATTCTCAGACCACAAAGTAACATAAAAAGACCTAATTCTCTATCTCATTTAGAGTAGAGCAACAAGTTAATTAACAAAATGAGAAGCTAAATACAGGAAAGGGAAATATCTGACTAATAGGATAAAACAGTTAAAACTAACAAGAGGATATTCCCAGAGTTGGTTTGTTAATTATTTACAAAGAGGACAATAGCCTGTTCATAAAGTAAGATTGTTAACATTTAGTTAATGCCTCAGAGTATTTATCAAAAAGGTCCACAAAATGTACTGTTATTTAACAAGAAAAGAGAATTCATACCCTTAGAGCTGGGTGGCTGGGCTAGAAATTGTGCTGAAAGTACTGAATATCTTTGAAGTCTTAAAATTGAAGTCTTAATTTTTTATTGTACTGAGATG